GAGGGAGGTAGTAGCCCCAGTTTCAATTAGCCTCCTAAATATAGAAGGAATCTACTGTAAAATATAAAAACCTACTCCTATTTTGAAGTGATCAGGATTCTGGTGGTTACTATTGGTTTCAGCCTGACAGAAATAAACAAGCCACCTGGTTCACGAATGAAGGAAATGGACCAAATACTAAGAACGCCTCTTAATCCCTGATCACTTGGACAGGAGGTAAGAGAAAGATTTTGTGGTTTGACAACAGAGTGCCCAGCTCATCTCCCATCTCAGCTCTCACCAGTAATATAAGCCTCCATGGAGGCATCCTGAACTAGCCAGAAAGTTCTGCACAAGTAAAAATTTCTCAATACATAAGACACATTTATCCATGTGTTCTGATAAATGCTCAGGCCATAAGCAAACGCTGAACTACATGCATTAGAAAAGCTCTCTTTTTGGGGGTAGAAAAGTGTCTTTGGAGTTCTTGTGGAGAAAAGCAATTAGTTTGTAATTTTCCAAATGCACTAAATAGATTGTAGACAAGCAGAAAGAATGTGTATCTTGTGATCACTGTGAATTTGGCAATGGTTCCAGTTCGAATGAGCGCCGACTCAGAGTGAATAGGTAATTCAGAATCTTGCCCATGAGTGACACTAGACAAAGCAGAGAGGAAATAGCCAATAAGGTACACACGCATGCGTACCTCTGTGTGCGTGTGTGTGTGTGTGTGTGTGTGTGTGTCTGTGTATGTGTGTGTTCAGTTAGGAAAGAAATCAAGAACTGGAGAAAACGAAACTTACAGAAAATGAAATTTCAGCACTAGACTATGAGTCCATTTCTGGGAGTCTACGACCAGCTCCCTGAGTGACTGACCAGCTGATATAAGCCACTTCACCTCGATGACCTCAGTTTCCTCAGGTGATAAACAAGTGACTTGGGATAGATTATTGGATCTCAACCCTTACTGTACCCTAGAAGCATCTAGGGAGGTTTTAAGAATAACGCTAACTAGGCCCGATCCTAGGCCAGTCAAATATATGTCTGGGAATGCCCCTCTCCCATCTCTGTATTAAAAAGAAATCCTCAGGTGATTTTTATGTACACCTGGGGAGGAACCAGGGCCTAGATGACCCCTGGAATCTACTGTAAAACTGAAATTCTTTGACTGAGTGGTCTGAGACATCAACCCTGGACCTACTCGCCGTTCTGTGTGGCTCACATTCAGTGTCTTCATTACTCGGAGCCTCATTTCCCCACCTGCATAATGGACAGTTAACTCCTCCACCTCTTACTGACCCCACAAGATGGCATGGAAAAAGAATGGAATTTTGAATGTTTGGACCCTTCTATAAAAGGATCTTCTTGGCTTTTGGGATTTTCCCCAAATACGTGCAATCATATCCGTGGGGAAGGACTCAGAGACACCAGGAATCCTTTGTTGTGAACGGTTTGATGAATTTCACATCTCGGGTACTTCCCGCACCCTCTCAGGCCACCTTGACCCCCCATTTAGCCCATTGCAACATATTCAAGTACGAACTGAATTTTTATGATTTCCCTTTTTTACATTTCAAGCTTATTTTGAAATAGTTACAGACTCACAGGAGGTAGCAAGAGGGGTCTTGTATGCCTTTCACACAACTCCCCCCTGACCCCCACCCCTGAGTGGCTACTTCCTACATAGCTGTAATACGGTATCAAAACCAGGAAAGTGACACTGGCACTGTGTGTATGTTTTAAAGACAAAATATATCACGAGTTCATCTTATTGATTCAAGCTTATAGGAGTTTTACTCAACCTAATTGTGTATCTCTTCTCCTGAATGGAGTATCTGATACCCATATTCATATGCTCTATTCATATGAGGCTGGGTAACAACAGCCTCAGAGTAACAAAATCCACAAAACAACCTTCAAAATGATTGCTGAGTAGAGTTTAAGATTTTTTTTTCTGTTCTTTTTGTCCATAAGATCTATTCTTCTAAAACTGTAGAGTCAAATTACAGTATGCTAAAAATCTCTGGGAGGTGGGGGGTGATGCTGACCTTCGGTGTGTGGGTTCCAGTGCCTTGGCGCCCTCAGGAAGTTCTTTGTTGTGGGGAGCACTGTAAGAAGAGGCTAGGGGAACTCATCCTCACTCTGAAACTGGGGCAGACACTGAGGTGGTCTGTGCATCCCCCACTGTCACACGGACTTTGCCCCTGGCAGGGATCCCAAGACTGCTGTGGCTGCACAGAGCTGCTGCAGAGGGTGATCAGTCCTGGCATGAGCCACGTGGGCTGTCCTGGGCGAGTCAGGTGAGCTGATGGAACAGAAAGTGGCCCACAGCCTTGCAGAGGGACTGGGAGTGATCGCCTGCACTGGGGAGGAGCTACATGAGAGGGAAGCTGGCGTCACCGAGAAGGTCACTGTGGATAACTCGAAGGACCAGAGCAAGGTCGTCCTGGCCTCTGAGCCCATGTGGGCCGTCAGGACTGGCAAGACCGCACTGCCCCAACGGACCCAGGAAGTACACCAAGCTCTGGGGATGGCTTACGTCTAACGCTGATGCAGTGGCTCGGAGCATCCCGTTTATTTCTCAGGTCCTGTGGCTGGGGCAGCCGGCAAGGAGCCAGCAAGCCAGCCTGCTGTGGGGCCAAACTGGGGGACATCACCAGTGACACGCAGTGTACCCCATCCATGTCCCCTACTCTGCCTGCTCGGCCAGGGACAAGGTGGGGCAGAGGCCCAATCACTGCGCTCTCCACCGCCCCCCCAACGCTGCGCACACTTCCGGATGGGGGCAGCCCATGGCCTAATCCAAACCTTGCCCCTTCTTTACCATGTACACCTCACCCTGTAATGCTGGGGCCGGGCCTCTCCTTCTCCGCGTACTGGAATGGTTAGGACAGAACGTGTCACCAAGGTGGCTTCTCCCCCGCTGAGAGGTGGAGGGGGTGGAGTCACTCATGGGTCCCCTCAGTCCTTAGTGAGAGCAGGAGAGACAAGCCTGTTTCTCCTGTCTCGTGCCATGAGGCCACGGGCTGCAAGGAAGCCCCATCCTCCTCTCAGAGGGGCTGTTCCCGTGGTGTTCAAAGTCCCGTGGTGTTCAAAGTCCCACGTCAGGGGAACATAGATACCTGGTGCTTCAAACAAATCACTTAGAATATTTTCTCATCCTGTGTGGTTTTATCTTCTAGCCCGTATATATTTTGGCTCATTTGCCTCATTTTGGTTTACCTTTCAGATACGGCTTTTTGACCTTTTTATCCTGAGAGTTTTGTCCTGAACATCAGAGAAAAGTTGAGAGGATTTTACAATGAACACTAATATACTCAACTACCTAGATCCTACAGTAACATTTTACACATTTGCTTAACTGCAAATCTATTCATCCATCAAGTCTCCATCCATTTATTTACCTTAGTTTTTGTTGTGTAAGAAGGCAATTCGCTGATGAAACGTGTCGGCATGCATACTGTGATGATTTCAGTCACATCTTGTTTACAAGAAAAGGACAGTATTCCTGCCCCAGTAGGTTTTTTTTGTTGCTTCAATATAATAAATCCATTCTTGGTTTAGGAGCGACAAAATTGGAAAGGGCAGTAATTTTGGTGCTAATTATTGCTATTAATTGTTTTCCCCGGGTATCATCTGAGTGACCGCCACCCTCCGCCCCATAGGTCAGTTCCAGCCCTCAGGGAAAAACCAACCTTACAATTCCGTGGCCTGCAAAAGTAAAGCCCTACCCAATACTTGGAAAAATTCTTGGTAGTGTTTATATTCCCGAAGCTTCTGCCTCAGACCTTCTATTGCTTATAGAAGTCGCTTCTGTGTTTTTCTACTTCCATCCAAACATAGAATACATGTTTTTCTTAAGTTTACTTATTTATTTTGAGAGAGAGCATGAGCTTGAGCCGGGGAGGGAGAAAGAAAAGGAGGAAGAAAGAATCCCAAGCAGGCTCTGCGTTGTCAGCACGGAGACTGATGCAGGGCTTGAACTCACAAACCGATGGATCATGACCTGAATTGAAATCCAGAGTTGGATGCTTAACTGACTGAGCCACCCAGGTGCCCCAAGAATACACATCTTTTTTTTTAAAAAAGAATTTTTTTTAACGTTTATTTTTGAGAAAGAGAGAGAGACAGTGCAAGCAGGGGAGGGGCAGTAAGGGAGACACAGAATCCAAAGCAGGTTCCCAGCTGTCAGCACAGAGCTGGATGCGGGGCCTGAACCCATGAGCCTAATATCATGACCTGAGCAGAAGTCGGATGCTTAGCCGACTGAGCCATCCAGGTGCCCCTGGAATATATACCTTTTAAAAATCTCACTAATAAAACTCACTCAAAGACTTTGTTAGCTTACCAAGTTTCTAACTTTACTGAATGCTTTTGGAGAAAATATCTTAGGGAAAAAGAAGATTATATGATGTACCCCAAGGGCCAGCACCTAAAAACTGCATTAATGTATTTGTCACTTTTGGCTTGCACCTCCTAAATGGGCTTTTCCTTTATTTGTCTTTCCCCAGTACATTTTAATTTTTCTTAGGGGTGAGTACACGTCCAGCGACGTGTTTGGAATGCACAGATTCTTTGCGATTGCCAGCGGCTGGACAAACGTGTCCCGAAATGTTTGAGTTTCTTATGAGGTTATAGACTTGGCTTCCTGGCCAGCAGTTCTTGGCTGTGGGAAGGCCTTGGGAGATGGACACCGGGACTGGAACACTCTAGTGACCTCCTGACGTCCCTTCTCTTTTCTCTTTCATCTTTGCTCATTTGCTTTGCTTTTAGATCTGGTAGGTCGGCACGCCCGGCCACATGAAAAGTAAATCTTTTTTTTTTTTTTTTAATTTTTTTTTTTAAACTTCTGACTGGGTTACAGTGTCAGGAATTTTCCAAATACAGAATGTGTATGTGCACAAGTCCGCAGGAATGGGCCTGTGTGAGCTCCAGAATCAGTGTGTGTGGAGAGAGATACACGTGGTGCATGTGTATATGAGCAGCCCATGCTCTTGGCTCAGGATGACTGTCTCTCAGACCATGGCGTTGGAGTCAGCAGCCAGCCTGAGAGCCTTCTCATAACACACCAGGGCCTCACTCACTTCCCCTTTCAATTTGTGGATGAGCCCAAGGATGCTGAAACTTTCCACCACACGTACATTCTGATGAATATGTCTTTTAGCTAACTTCTCTAGGGCGCTGAGAATTTTTTCCCTGGTGCGGGAGATGCTTCTTATTTTGAGACCTTTTAAATAATGGGTGATTGCTTTATCCACAGATATCTTGTGAAGTTCTTGGAAATGGCCATAGCAGTAATGAATCTCTTGTTGCAGATGATCGTTGATGTTCTTCATGTGTAACACTTTCTGAAAGGCGTCCTCAGCCTTTGTGTGTTGGCCTATTTCTGCATACATGTAAGCCAGTTCAACATAAGCCAACTCAAATGTGGGCCTTAGCATCAGAGTCTTTTGAATTTCACATATAGCCAAGTGAACCAATCTGTGGACATTGTCTCTATCCTGTCCTCTGGGCTGCCAGTTTGCCGCTC